TCCCCTACTGCGCATTAGGCTACGCCTGGTGAAAGAAGGTTTTACATCTCTGAATGCACACACAGGAATCGGCACCGTTGATGCTGTTGTGCCCACTGGGAAAAATGAGGAAGCTGACCATCAGAGAGGGCAAGTGACTTGCTTGCAGATGCACAGCTGCTCTGCTAATTCCACCCTTCTGATGTAAAGCCACTGCTCTCACCACAAAACCCCAGCTGCTTCTAGGGGACTTCCGAGGAGTATCAGATGGGGTCCCTGACCTCTAGGAACCGATGATGGTGCCGTCTTTGCTCTCCTGGACTGCTGCCCCCACGCTCAGTCTGGGGCCACCTCCCTACTCCCCAAGAACCAGTTTTTAATACATAATAGCTTTGGCCAGAAACAAATGTACTTTTTCCTCACATCACAGGTACAACTCGGACACAGCCCAGTCGATAGTTCCTCCTAATGAGCCCTCCCGGTCTTCTTGCCTTTTTATCATGGGAACCAGCTCTGTTTACTGGCAGAGAGGATGAGTGAACAGATATTGTGTCCACAAATATCATAGAACCCATGGAGGGCTGCAGACCGGGTTCCTAATCCTGCCTCCATCAACAGCAATTTGCAGCCTAACGCAGTCACTTGCTTTCTGGTTCCTCCGTCTCTAAAGTGAGTAAAGGATAACACCTTTACAAAAATGGATTGGTTTCTGCGGAAAAGGGGGGAAGACAACTCTAAATTGGGCTGAAAAGACACTTCCCCGGTTTTTGCTAAAGCCGGAGAGGGATAAAGCCTCCTTTCTGCCTCACCCCCTCGGCTCCAGGCTTTCTTATCTGCACTCCTTACCTCCAGGCACTTCCTCTCCCATCCCTCCTCCAGTTCCCCAGGTTAATCTTTCTACAACAGAAACCTAGGTGAGTCACCTCTGTTAAAACCCTTTATTGGCTCCTCACTCCCTTCTGGAAAAAGTCCAACTCCTCCGTTCTGTGTGATGAAAGCTCCTGGCTTTTGCTTTGGCCTCCTCTCTAACCTCTCTCCTGCTGGACACCCAGACTCCTCACACTGTACCACATGTGCAGTTCCCCAGGAGGGCCCCCAGCTGCATGCCGCAGGGCCTTTGCACATGCTGCTTCCTTTGTCTGGAATGTCCTTCCCCCAGTAGCATCCACCAGACTTGAGCTCTGCAAGGGTGCAGCCTCAGTCATCCTGATACCAGCAGGGCCCCTGCCCAGAGATGGATGCGGGAACCGGGCGCACACATACAAAACCGAAGGCTTCTCTCTACATCTCCAGGCTGCAGTTGGTAGAATTCAGTTTCCATTCTGGGCTCAACAAAATCTGTGCTTCCTAACACCTCAGTTTGGGACAGGAAATTTTTAGTTTTCAATATTCCATTTTTAAAGACACAACACTTTAGCACCGAGACAGATGTATTTTATCACAGATGCTGACGCAGGTCGCCTCCTGTCCCCAAGTCTCCTTGTGGAGGACGGTCTGACCAACGCGCCATCCAGGCCATGGGAATCTGCAGGGCTGGCTCTCACGGCAGGGGTGTCATGGTGAACCTCTGGGCCTGGGGCTGCCCCTCAGGGGCTGCTCCCACACTGTCCACGTCCAAACAGGGACCCCCAACAAAGGACAGTGCCGCGGTGTCACGGAGGTATCGTGTTTGAACTGGGGAGCCAGTTTACCTTTCAGAACAGCCACTCCGAATGGACCACCCTCTGTGCCTCTCTCCCACTCACTTGCCTAGGCTTCCCTGTCCTTCTGGCGGGTAGACCCAGCAGCGTCAGCAGGCAGCCAAGGACACTGGAGAAGGGTCACCTGCACAGAGCCAGGGAGCAACCACTTCTCCCAGAGGGAAGGAGACCATGGAGGGCAGTGAGCAGAAACTTCCCCCTGAGTCCCAGAGGAGGCAGCAGGAGAAGCTCTCGGCTCCCATGCCAACCCCCTTCCCGTGGCAGCTGGGGGACCCTGGCTGGGGTGCTTTCCGAGTTTCCAAGTTCCACAGGGGTGTAGACGTCCAGCTTTCTCCTCTGTGGGTGGTAGGTGATTCTAGCACAGGGCCTGAGTGCCCATCCAGGTCTGTAATCCCCCGAAGTCCACACGCACGATCGTGCTGAACCTCTGAGTCCCAGTGCTGGCTGCCGGGGAAAGGGGGAGATGGGCCACTGCTGTCACGGACCACCTCTGAGGGGCCCGTGGACCAACCCTGCCAGGGGTGCCAGTCACTCTGCCCTCTCTCAAATCCCAAATGTCACCTTTTCAAGGGAGGTCTTTCCTGAGCTCTTTAGGGAAGTGCAGTGATTTTTTTCTTTGGAAGTCAAGTAATGAATCGCCACTGACGTTTCCAAAATCGTGCCAGGCGCTACAAGGACATAAAAGCTATGATGTCTTTCTTCCACTGGCCTCCTGCAGCCTCTGTAAGAGAATCCAGATTCCTTCCAGCAGGGCCCTGCCTGCCTCAGCGCCTCGGCTTCTCCCAGCCCACCCCGACAGCCCCGCGCTGGTCCGAAAGCTCCCGGACTCGCCAGGCTTGTTCACGCCTCAGGGCATTTGCACCAGCTGTCCTTGCTGCTGGGTGGCTTGTGCCCCAGGTGGCCGCGTGGCTGTCAGACCTTAATTTCAATGTCACTTCTCCTTGGATCCTTGGAGTTCTTCCTGCTGAAGCCACTTCCTGAACTTAGTGACCCCGCAAATCACCGCCAGTCCCAGGCTCTCTCTGTTGTCTGCACAGCCCTCGGCACGGTCTGCAGTCACCTCCCTGGTTCATTCACGGCAGAACCAGTTTTCTGGGGGACCTCGACTCAGTGGGCTCCAAGCCTAAACCATCTCTTTTCCGAATTGCTTCACTCCATCACACGCTGCCGAGTCCCCCTCCCCGCTGGGCCCTTGGGCAGGCCGATCAGAACCCTTTCAGGCACTCCTGGTTGTTGGCACTCAGACCAGGCCAGCTCAGAGCTCTCCAGAAGTGGGGAAGGGAGCAAGAGCTTTCTCCCCGCCCCCCCCCACCCCCCGGGGGTGCCTCCCCAGGCAGGGCGCTTCTCTTCCTTTGCAGGCCTGCTCCTGGTCTGGTTCCTTCTCTTGTGATCTCCCTGGAGATGGGGATGCCTGCGGGCGCTTGCTCGGTGGCTGGCATTCCTGGCAGCTGTAGCCCCTGACCTCTCCAGGGAGCAAGCAGCTCCCTTTGCCCAGACCTGTCTGGAGAGCGCCCTGACTCCCCTTTCTGGTGGGTGAACCCCTAATGAGTTGAGAGCACCTGCACTCCCTGCTGGAGGTGCAGGCTTCTCCCCACTGAGTCCCCCAGTTCCCAGGGCTGTGTGACAAGCTACCCCAAGGACACCCTCATCACCCTGTGCCTGCGGTTGGCCCCGGGTCCCTGCAACTCAGTGAGCATCCAGTTGGGGCATGAAGTGCTGGCCTCGCCTGCTGGGCAGTGTCCTCTGTCTCAGGAGGGGTCTCATGGGACCTCCTTTACTTGGTTCTGGGGGTGGGGCAGGTCAGGGAGTGGTACCCACTGACCAACACCATGACTCAACTACTCAATTTTCTGATTTAAACAAGGAAAAGTGAGGGTGAGGAGCAGTCGGGGGTGGCTGCCAGCGGCAGGGACATTGCCACAGGGAAGGTGCCTGGCCCCAGCCTCTTGTGATCTCTTTAGGAAGTGGGTTACTTAGCATCTCTTTGTCCACAGCTGTGGTTCTGTGACCAGTTCTCGGGCAACCGGAGATGTCCCCTCCAAGTCTCCTTGGTTGTTTTTGCAGGTCTTCCCCTCGGGAGCACGTGACGGAGACTGGCAGCTGGGCATTGCTCGTGCTCGGGAAAGCGCCGGCACACTGTCGGCCCCGCTGCCGTCTTCTGAAAGGATGACTCAGTGGGAAGACTGCCGTGGCCACAGTGAGTTCCCGGTGACAAGCTACCAGAAGAGGAAGGGGGGAGGGAGGGCTGTCTTTCACCTGTCATCTCACTTACCACAGTGACCTTGAAGGGCAGCCTAACTATCCCTTGGTGGATGAAAAGGGCTCCGCCTTCCCCAGGCCAGCTCCAGCGGTGGGGGAGGGGCGCGGGGACCAGCGGCTGTGAGCTAAGCCCCTCAGTTCTCTGACTCGGGTTCTTCGTTTGTAAAGTGAAAGAAGACTGTTGTAAAGATTAAATGAGCCAGTGCATGTAAGATGCTTAGCTCATGTGGGACATGGCAGGCCACACACAGTGACCAGAGCCATCCCCACTACCATCACTGTCATTGAGACACACCCCGGCCTGCCTACCCCCACGCCTGGCACTGTCCACATGATGTCCCCACTCCCACAAGGCTGGAGATGTGGGGACTGCGGGCGACAAAGCCCTCTGGGCTCTAGGACCCAAAGGAGTCGAGACCCTTGGGGGCAGGCGACAGGCAGAGGTGGCCTTCGATGCCAGCCCGTGGCCTGCATGCAGCCTGATGCGGGAGGTGGTGAGGGGCCTCTGTGGGTCTTTGTAATCAGAGGAGTGGAAGCGGTGTTTTAGGAAGATTAATCTGGCAGCAGAAACAGGATGGAAAACGGTCCAGCTCGGTACAAAGAATTATGACTGCTGCCTGGCTCCAAGAGGTGGGTCACTGAAGGAAAGTGGCCTGGTTCTGGGCTCCCTGGTGCTCAGGGTTCCCGGCAGCTGGGAGGGGCTGGCGCCTCATTAAGAGGCATCAAGGGAGGCCAGCAGAGGGCACTGTTTTGTTGGTGACAGTGGCCCCTGCAAAGGAGCTCTGGCACCCGGACAGCGGAGAGGCAGGAGAGCCTGGTGTGTGAGAATCAGGACATGGCGGGCGGTCAGCACCCCGAGTCCTGCGGTGAGCTCCAAGCCGAGCATCTCAACTGCGGCAAATTGTAAGCAATTCCATCCCACGATGGGGTGTGCTCTGTGAAGGCCCCCTAGGAGGCAGCCTGCCCAGGTCCCCAGCCTGGCTTCCAGGGCTGCTCAAGAACCAGCAGGCAAAGCGCAAAGTGGAACCAGGGCTGGCCCCGGCCAAGAATGGAAGGAGCTGCTGCTTCCACATGTTATTTTATTTAAAGCTGTCACAGTAGGTGGGAAGGACCACGGCAGCCCACCTTCTCTCCGCTTCCAAGGAGACTGGCAGGTGGGGGGCACTGCCGGGCCACCAGCAGCAGCTCCCAGCCCCTCACACGAGTGCGCGGAAGCTCTCCACCTTCTCCCGGTACAGCTGGTGGAACTGCCGGGCCAGATGCTGGAACGGGGCTTCGTAGTTCTCCATGTCCTTCTGCGGAGACAGATCGGAGAGGCCCGCGTGTTACATGAGTCATCAGAGGGCCAGCGCGCACCCGCCCCTGCCTCCCCGTCACACCACATGGGGAGGCGCGGTCACTGTGCCGTGTTATCAGAAGGAAACTGTGACAGGGAGAGATTAAGTAACTTGGCCAAAGCCACACGTGTGTCAGTCGTGGAGCTGAGTTTGAATCGAGATCTGTCTCTACAGAGCCTGTCCTTCCAGCCACTCTTCCTCTGTGTGAGGCAGGCTGTTACAAGACTCCTTTCTGGCTTATCTTGGACAGAGGCCCCAAAGGCCATAGCAAAATAACAGACAGCAAGGACCCTCACACTAGAGGGAGGGCCGGACGGCACGGGCCACCCTCGCCTTGAGGAAGGGTTGCGCTGTGACATTTCCCTCCAGGAGGGGTGCCCCCTCACCTCTAGCTCAGCGGGAGGTTCCATGAGAAAGCCCAAGGCTGGGGGCTCAGGGAAGAACTGAGGGGCGAACAAGGCTGGCTGTTCTGGTGTCCAAGCCGGGAGCGGGTTCACTGGGATGGCAGCACTGCTCCTCTGTCCACTGAGGCTGCAGCTGCCCTGCCCTGGACCTCCCAGGCTGGAGCGGTCTTAACAGGACTCTGCAGGGACAGCCTGCAGGGGGTGCGGGGTCCCAGCAAGGACAGAGGGCCAGGAACCACAGCTGCGGGAGGAGTGAGGTGGTGCCCTGGCCTGAGGAGGATGCCCTGCCACAAGGAGACTGCTGGTGGGAGTGCCCTGCTGATGGGGGCAGCAGGGGCATCTCTGAAGTGCTCGGGGAGTCAGCCTCAGACACCTGGCAAGTCCTGAGGGGCCACAGCAGGTCCAGCAGAGACCCAGCCCTCACGCCTCTCCCCCTTCCCTGCGGGCTGCGGGCTGAACTGGCGGGAGGTGCTGGAATGCAGAAGCGGCCAGCCTGGCCCTGCTTCCCGGGGTGGGCTGGCCGGGAGGCGCCAACTGGAAATCAAGTTAGGAATCTTGACAGCCACCCAGCCCTGGGTATCTTAATGACGGAAATAACATTTCTGTGACTAAAGGTGTGCAAAGGGCTTTCACTCTTTGGGTGCACACGCGTATTAAAATTTTTAATTCAATTTATTTAAACTGAAAACAACAACAAAAACCCAACCGGTTCAGCCATTTCTCCCACCCCTACTTAGGCAACCATCAGTCTGTTCTCTGTGTCTACGAGCTTTTTTGTTTAATTTCACATATTAGAGAGACCATATGGTACTGATCCTTCTCTGACTCACTTCCCTTAGGCCAACGCCTCAAGTTCCATCCACGCTGTTGCAAGTGTCAGGGTTTCTTTCTTTTTGCGGATGGATGATATCCGTTACAGCAGTCCCGACGTCTCTGCCCACCCGTCCATCGACGGACCCTCGGGCCGTTTCCACGTCGGGGCCGCCGTGCACGGTGCCGCCGAGAACGTGGGGCAGAGGCGTCTTTTCAGCCAGTGCTTTCCTTCTCTTTGAGGGAAGACCCAGGAATGGGGCTGCTGGGTCATGTAGCAGTTCTAGTTTTAATTTTTGAGGGACCTCCACATTTTTCCATTGTGGCTTTACTATGTCCACATATTTTACATTTTTTTTTAAAGAAATAAGCTGGCAGAAGGGAGAACCCACTACTTCCAAGGCAAGCAGCTCGGCTATGAACTCACGAGGGCCTGTTTCAAACAAAAGTGCAACCTCGATGGGAGATGAGAGATGAACTCTCCACATTGGAAGAATTTCCAAACCAAAGAACGGCACCGAGTCCTCAGGCCCCGGGTTTCACAGACAGCAGTCTGGGGCCCGGGGCAGTGGCCCAGCGGGTCTGTGCGGCACCCTGCCTAGAACTCAGATTCTGCAATTTGAGGAGCGGCCTCTGGACTCTGCCAGCCGGTGACAGAAATGCACCAAGCAACCAGTTCCGGTGGAGCAAGTCAGCTGGACTTTCTAGCAAGGGAAAAATCCCAGGGCACAGGAAACAAGCTGGCCGAGGGAGCTGGAGACGGCGATAAGCGCTGACAGCGATTGGAAAGATGGGGGGTGGGTAAGGGGGGATGCAGCCCAAGGAGCAGGGGCACAGCACCATGTGGAACTGTCACTCTCCAGGCGGACATCAGAGGAGTAACTGCCACACCCACCAGGCCTGTTGTGTCGGGCAGAGTGTGAACTCCTGGGCAATGCCAATGTCAAACAGTAAAACTGGACCCATTTTACACCGCTCACAAAAATTAAAACGAAGTAAAGACTTGAACTGAAGACCTGAAACCATGAAACTCCCAGAAGAAAAACACTGGGAAAAAGGCTGCTTGACATTGATCTTGGCAATGACTTTATGGCTCTGACACCAAAAGCACAGGCAACAACAGCGGAAACCAAGTAGGACCACATCCAGCTCAAAAGCTTCGCATGGCAATAGAGATGAGGGACCAAGTGAAGAGGAACCTACGGGATGGGAGGGGACATCTGTAAGCCACACGTGTGATAAGGGGCTAGTATCCAAAATGTACAACTCGGGCACCTCAATAGCAAGAACACAACTGAGCTGGTACAAAGTGGGCAAAGGACCTGAGGAGACATTTTTTTCAAAGAAAATATTCAAATGGCTAATAGGTTCACAGAAAGGCACTCAGCATCACTAACCATCAGGGAAATGCAAACTGAACCCACAAGGAGACAGCACCTCACCTCACGCCTGTTAAAACGGCTCACGAAAAGACAAGACACACCAGGGCTGGCGAGGATGCGGAGAAAAGGGAACCCTCGTGCCCTGCTGGCGGACACAAGCTGGCGCAGCCACCGCGGAAACCAGCACTGTGCTGGGTGGAGTCAGAAAGACAGATTCCGTGTGATCTCCCGTGTGTGGAATGTAAAAAAACACCCCCAGGAACACAGAGCAGACTGGCGGTTGCCGGGGCAGTGGGTGGGGTGGGTGCAGGTGGTCGAAGAGTATAAACTTCCAGTTTTAAGATGAGTATTTTCTGGGGATGGGATACAAAATAAAAATCCCAGTCAGGGAGCCAGGCAGGCCCCGCCGTTAGGTGCACTGGACGGGGGTGCCGCAGCAGTGGGGAGAGAGGAGAAGGAGGGCACGGCCTCTCATTATGTCGCCTTTTTAATTACAGCCTTTCTTAACCGAGTGGCCTCAGGGTCAACATGCACGGTTAATACCAAGGGCTTCACTGCAGCCTCCTCGGGCACAGTTCATGCACCCGGGGCAACAGCGCACCACACACACCGAACCGAGTTTAGCACCCACTGCCCAGGAGCCTCTGCTGACCGATGAGTCGGGGTGGGTGTTAATTTGGGTTCCACCAAGAGTTCCGGGGTGTATGGGATACTGGGGTAAGGAGGCAGCGGCACAAATGTGAGGGCTGGAGGGGGAACACTCAAACATCATTTGCTGTGGGCAGCTTGGGTTGCTGCTTGGCTCCGAGGCCCACTACGCAGCAAAAGCTCGCTGATTTGAATCACTGTCATGAATTCCGCATCTGGGCTTGTTGGGCCAGAGGCAAGAGTGGCTTCTGTCTTTGAACAATCTGCGGGTTCCAGGATTTAGTAAATGATGAGTATAAACAAGATTGCTAGGGGTAAATATACTTTTTAAAAGTTGACATACATTGAGAGCTTACTGTGCACTAGACTTTGTGCTAAGTGTTTTCATAGTCACCGTGACTTAATTTTCATATCTGCCACTCATGAGGGACGTGGCTTACCATTCCCACTTTACAGGTGAGGAGCCCAGGAACTCACGGGTTGATAACACACAGAGGACCCCCACCCAGTCCTGCCTCTCACTGTCAGGGCTCAGAGCACCTGCCTTTCCTCGCTGCACTTTCCTTAAGGGAGCACGCCTGCTTGGGGGGACTCTGAAAGTTCATGTCCATGCAGCAACCAAACAGCAGCATTTGTCTGTCAAGTTCTACAGATGCAACAACAGCAATGTTGCTGCTTAATTAACCTTCCGTAGCTGAAGTCGATTCTGAGTGGAAGACCACCTCCAGACTACTAGTTAGCCTGCTGGCTCTTTGGGAGAGGCAAAGACTCAGGTCTGGAGGTCGCACGGCCAGGAGCGAGGTCCTGTTACAACCACGGACAGGCCAGGCCTGCGAGTCTCCCCAGCAGCCCTGGCCGGGGGCACCGCAGCCAGCACCTGGGCCCCTCGACTCAGGAGTGGACGTCTCTGGGCTGCTCCTGAGGGATCGGCCTTCACTTCCCTCCCCTCCGTGGGAAACTGTCACACAACCATGTCTGACGGGTACAGCCTGGGTCACACGCCTGCACCCAGGTGGCAGGGAGGCTGGGACCTCAAAACCCCCAACATGGAAAAGGGTTTCACTGGCACTGGATGGCTAAAATTGTCACATGTGCGTGCTGAGGGTACAGGCAGCAGTTTGCCCGGGCTGGTCCTCTCGGTGAGAGCTCCTGCTGACTCTGCTGGGACATGGCTTGTGGCCTGCAGTCAGTCACCCCGTGGCTGTGACGAGGTAGGACAAGGTGCATTGAGCGGGGGTCAGACCTTCCCTACTCCTGGCTCAACCCTCCACTAGTCATGTGACCTTGGGCCAGTCACTTCACCTCCTCAACATGGGAGTGGGATGTGGGGGACCAGCTCCTGCTGACGGACTGAACATGAGCATCCATGACGTAATGCTCCAGCAACACCTAACCCACATGCAAAGGTCAAGTGTCACTGCCACTGAACACAACCTGCTTATGTTTCTCCCTGGCTGAGACACAACCCTTCCCGGGGCTGGCCGGCTGATCTGCTTTACTGAAATGCGTGCGTGGCTCTTGCTGTCATGAGAACAGACCTTGGCCTGAGGGTGCAAACATCACTTCCAAATCAACTCTGTGAGTGGCGGGGTAACAGCTCGATAGAAGCACGTGGGGCCATGTGAGGAACCGCTCCCCGCAGAGGCCCGCTCCAGCCTGGGCTACGGAGCCAGCGAGACACTCACCACTGATGTTTCAAAACACTCCAGGCCTTGGCCCAGCGCCCAGGCACGGGCCTGCGCCGACTGCACCGCCCGCCTGCTGGCCAGGTCCGTCTTGTTGCCCACTAGCACACCTGCTCGGAAGACACAACCAAAGCGCCGCACTGAGCTGGCCGTCTGGGTGGCCGGCGGGGACAAAATGGGGCAAGCGGGCTGATTCTGGGGGGCACAAAAGGTCGTGTGACGGGGCGCCTGGTTCGAGGCAGCGAGCAAGATGGGGACAGTGACAGGCCTTGCTTTTCTCGCTAGCTTCCGCTTGGCCCTGTTTCTAGACTCCCCGAGTGTCTGCTCTGTCGCCTTAAGGCTGCAGGTGCCCTGAAGGGAGGGCCGACTGTAGCCTTTGCAGTAAACTCCTGGCGCATGGAGTGAACTTTAAAAATGGTCATTAATACTAATCTAAGGACCAGGCTCAGAGTCAGGGAGCCGGAGGTAATTTTGTTGTGTCCCCAGCTGCATGAGCTGCAGCTGATTTCTGAGCCTGTCTCTTCTTCCTGGTCTGTAATGAGGAGAATTTGTTGATCTCGCAGAAGGATGAAAAATAAACTGATTTAAAGCATTCAGAAGTGACAACAGCACCTGCCTGTTAACTTGTGCCCCCTGCACAGGAGAAAGCCAGGCATTTGTCTGGGTTAGTTTCCCAGAAATACCAATTCGTGTCCCCCCACCACAGCCCCTCCCCTTGTTGCCTGAGTCCCCCCACACCTTGCAAAGTAGGCGTCCTCGTGCCCATCTGACAGACTCAGACGTGTGTGGTTACTTGCTGAGGCTTCTGCGTACAGGCCGGACCATCGCCCTCGAAGCCCAGGGCACCTCTTTCTGCACCCACAGCCAGCTGTGCAATGACCTTGTGCTCTTCAACTTGAACAACAGAGGTGCTGCTGGCAAACCTGGGTGCCCACAGCTCCTACCTGGGAGGAAGGCGCCTGGAACCTGTAGCTGTGCCTTCTCCAGCCACTTGCTGCAGCTGCTGAAGGACTGCTCGTTGGTCACGTCGTAGACGAGACACAGGACGTTGGGACTCTCCCACTGTGCAAGAGGGACAGGATGAGCACATCAGAAACAGTGAGAGTGACTTCTAGGATAGAAAACTGGGCCAGTCATGTGGACGAAGGGAAATGAAAAGCTGTAGAGGCGATGACAGTGAGGAAACTGAGTCCCACCCACAGAAGAAAACAGTTCACCCCAAGAGTGAGTGGGTGGGCTCACGGCGGGGAGGTACGGTGAGAGCTCACATCTGTACCAGGCTCTCTGGGCATTGTCGTGAGACCTCCCAGCTTTGCCGGCTGGCCTCAGGGTCCCTGCTGTGCAGCAGCCCTGCAGGGTGACCGACGTGCCTGGGTCAGACATGCTTTCGACAGGGTAGGACTGCCGCTTCTCTCTCCCCGCCACAGCCTCAGCAGCCAGTCCTTGCACACCTTCTCAGTGACAGCCTGCTACGGGGTGAGCTGGTGCGCCTTCCTGCTCTGGGGGCCCTGGACAGCACCCTTTCTTCCCTCAGCCTGGATGCCTGTGTGCTTGCATCTCCATAGTAAGAGCCGGCTTTTCACAGTGCAGAGGAGGCACCTCCTGCCTCTCCTGCAGTGCCTCGGCCCCAGTCCAAACCAGACCACCGGACAGGCCCTGTCCCGGCACAGGGCCAAAGGGCAGCCCTGCTCAGGCTGGCCTGCACGGGACCTGTGGCCACCCCTGGCCCCTGCAGACCCCCACCCTGCACAGCGAGAGTCTGGGTTACTTCTGGGGTGTCATTACCTCCCAGGGTGTGAGGAGGAACCCCTTCCCTCTGGCTGTCCTTGGAAGGAGCCCCTGGTCACTCTGGAAGGCTCACCTTGCTGCCCCCAAGGCCACCCTGGCTCCCGGAGGCCTCCAGGATGGGGGAGCATGGACTACACTGATGGTTCCCACTCCCTCACTCTGCAGACCATCTCAGAACTGGAGCTAGAATCACACTGACCCCCCCATGTGCCTGCAGGAGAAGCCTTCTTCCTCCAGCCTCAGCGGGGGAACCAGGTAAGTCCTGGGGTCGAGCTGGAGCTGGAGCAGGGAGCCTGGAGTCAGGGTGTGAGCTGAACGTGGCCCTGACCTCCTGCTGGGTAGGGCAGCACCTAGCACCAGGCTGTGCACATAGTAGGTGGGCATGGGGTGAACATGAACTTACCACCATCAGATCTGTATCTCTTAGACAACAATAACAAAAAAGGGGGCAGAAGACAGTTTCCATTAAAATGTAGCCATTCTTGGAAAGGCAGGGGAGGGCTCTGGAGAGTGCAACCCTTCCAATTAGCTCACTGGCCCAGATTAGTGCAACTGTTACCCGGGAAGGCTCGGCAGGTGGGGGCCTGAGAGGGTGGCTGGCTGGATGGGCGTGACAAGCCCTGGGCAGCAGGCGCACATCCCAGAGCCAGACCCATGGGACCAGGGAGTGGCCCGGGAAGGCCCGCCTCACCCCCTGAGGGGGGGTGGAAATGTTGGCCCCTGTTCTGAGGGGTCGAGGAGGAGGTCTGAAAGGGTACCATCGGGAAGGGGTATTCAAGAGAAGGGAGGTAGTCCCCAGAAGGGCAACTACGAGAACTGAGTCACTAACTTCTGGCACATTTGGGACCCAGCCATTCAGAGCTGGGGGCCGGGGTGTGGGAAGTCACATGCCCGAGCCATTCCCACTAGCCAAGGGGCCACCAGTCCCAAGGCTGGGAGGGGCGCCCCTCCCAGAACTTTGTCTCGATGGCCTCTCAGCAGCCAGAGCGCAGTGAAGTCTCTGTGGGGGCATGGTGAGGGGCAGACCTTTTGGTGGGAGGTGGTGGTGGAGGATAAGAAATCAAACAACACGCTACTTGCCAACTTATCCAGCATCTCAGAAAACAGCTCCTTGCCGGCAGAGTCAAAAATGAAGAGCTCCTGGAATCAGAAAGGTGTGACCTAAGAATGTCCATCCACCTGCGGGGTGGGGGGCACAGACCACTAGTGGCCTGGAGGCCGCACCTTCTCCCGGGGGCACGAGGTGGAAGGTGGGGAGAGGAGCGGCCCCCGGAAGGCTGGGGGGCAGCACGATGGCTCCCCACACCTCCCAGCACTCTGGGCGGCGTCACCTTCCCTAACTGCAAGAGCGAAAATACTAGGAACAAGCTGACTTCCCACCTGGCAGAACAGAATGCTAAACAGGCGGACAAGTGCGCTGGTTTCCAAAAGGTCATTCTGCACTTTGTTAACCAAATTGATTTTCAAATCTTAAAACCATTCTTTCAAAGGAGGTCACTGAGAAGGCCTGGGAAGGAGGGTAAAGTAGGACAGTCTGTCACCGTCCTGGATGGCTACGGTGCTATTCTGACAGAGGACGCAGGGTGACCCCTCCTGCCCAGCCCAAGCCTCAGCGGGCCTGTGGCAGAGCCCCTCCCCAGGGCTGTCACCTAGGGGGTCTCCCCTAACTTCCCTCCAAGCGCTGGACAGTCCTGGCTGGCTGCCAAACCTGGCCCACGCCGTCTGAACCTCAGCGCCCTGACCCAAGTCACACGCAGGTTACCTGGGCATCGTCTTGTCCCTTCTCCTTGCATCACAGACCTCTTTAACAATCTGGTGACTCCCATATCTCCCCAGGAAAGCACATGCAAACAACCCCTTGCAATTCAGTTGCAGGAGTTGTGAGCCCACAACTTACCCAGCGAGGGAGCCAGGGTAAGAAAGTGATGGGTGAGTTCTGTGAGGGCAAAGCCCCCGTCCCAGCCTCACTTCCTCTCTGTCTGCCCTCCCTGGGACGCCTCTTCCCTGGCCGCCGCACAACTCTGTTCCCAACCCTCAGGCGAGCCCAGGCCAAGCCATGGCACCAGGTCTCCTATAGGGAGGGCGACGGTGACTCTGGGACCCTGGGCCCGGCTGCGGTGGCACTGAGTTCCCTTGGGGCAAGGGCACCACTTACCACACTGTCCCCCGAGTCAGGAACTGGCACCGTCTTCACCACCAAATCCACCCCTGTGGTCTGCCGAGGAAAACCAACACCGTGCGTGTCAGAGGGCCCCACGGGGTGTCGTGCAGGAGGACACGACAGGCACTGCACCCAGGAGACACGTCCCAGTGCAGGTGTTCATGTCCTGGACTCGCTTTCGGTGCGGGGTCAGAGAAGACCAGCTGATCTCCCAGCTCCCTGCCCAGGAGCGAGCTGTGCGTACTGACAGTCACCCCCTGGTGGGTCTGCCCCAAGGCTGTGGGAAAACACTTCCCACAGGGTCATCCCTGCAGCCTCTGGGCAGAGGTCTCGAGGCTTCTTAGGGCCATTTGACAACTTGTACAGTCACCGCACTGCCCACCTCGGCCAGGCCCTCGGCCCCCCAGCTCACCAGGGTGTAGTTCTTCTGGAAATGGGCTCCGTCGCTGCGAAATATCTGCGCCAGGGCGGTCTTGCCCACCGCTGGGTCTCCTGGGGGGACAGAGTACCAGACGAACATCACTTCCATCCTCAGCCGACTCGAGCACTTCCCACTCTAGAACACTAGTCTAGAGACCACAAACCTCAGGGCGCTCTCAGAGAAAATGAGTCAATTCTCACAGGAAGTTGCCGTGAGGTCGCCGGCAGGGCAGTGGGCACCCGAGACCGACCTTCGAATCCCCCGATGGCCAGGGTTGCATCTCTTCAAGGCCAGCCCTTTCATCCAAAAGAGCAAGCCCAGAAGGTAACAGAGCTGGATGCAGGGCTTTAGGGCATTGGGAACAGAACTGCCCCTAGTCCCTGGAAACGTCCCCTGTGGGAAAACCTGTCCCTCTCAAACCAAAATTTACTTTGAGGTCCGGGAGGTAAAGAGGTGTGGCCAGACTGACTGATGGGCTCGGCTGACTGAACCAATCCGGCTAGAGCTTCCATGGTTAGGACCCTGCACTGTGCTTTTTGGTGGGTGTGGGAGTTGGGAGGGGCTCTGCATTTGTGGGAAGCAAAAGATGCCACACTCGCCATCCTGATACCCACTTCCATGTGACATACTGCCGTCCACCTGGGTGTGCCCCTGTGACCACTGGCGTCCGTCTGCAGCAGAAACCATCTTCTCCAGGCTCACCTCCCACCTTGGGTTTCTCTCCACGGCGTTCCTTTGTTAGTTGGGAGCCCCATAAATTGGTACCTCAAAACTGAAGGTTTATGCCCCAGTTCCAGCCTAAGATCTGGACCTCTCCCAGGACTGCTGGTGGCAGTTTAATTTGGAGTGCCTCCCCTGTCCCCAAGGCTGTGGTGGCTCTCCGTGCTCACCCTTCTCCGCCCTGTGTCCTTCCCACTTCCCCACTGGTGGCCCTGCTCAGCCTCCTTTGATGCTACACTGTTTCTGTTTGCAAGACTTTCTCCACCTCGATTGTCTTACGAGACTCTCCAGGTCACCCAGCACCCCAGACAGGACACGTGCTTCCCACTCGCTCCCCACGGCCCCTGACTCGCACCCTTCATGCGATCCCTTCACTTTGCTTCCCAGTTTACAGTCAGCCACAACACTTCTCCTCACCCGATTTCTCGGTAGCCTCCCGCTCTGCTCACTTTTTGGTTTTGACTCTTCTCACCTATAAGCTTCCCTTATGAGACAATGATCTGACTTGCTCGTGGCATTTCATTTCATGTTAATTCCTTCGGGTTTAAACAAGCTATTCGGGTCTTGCTTTTCTAACATGACCACCACATCTTACAAGGGAACTAACCCAGGTGGGGGCCTGCCTCCTGAACCCATTCATACAATCTCATTCCACACCCCCCACCCTGGACCAGCCTTAACCTCACTTCACAGATGACGACCTCCCCGGGATTCCAACGTCACGCTCCTTCAGCCAGACTCCACTCCTTTCCTCGAGCTCAGGGGCCCTTCTAACCCATTTTTAACACTGTCCCTCCAGTCCCTCATCACCACAGCCCTCCATGACACTGGGGGCAGCCACAGGCTGGGGTATCACTGGGTGCCCCCCATCTCCAAGCACAGTGCGTACATCACTCTCATTGCCTTAGGACAGTTCCCACCCTCCCAACTCCCGTTTGGCTTCCGAATCCAGTTGGAAATTGGCTCTTCCTGCTTGTGAAATTCCCCACAGATTTGCACTGGTTAGTTTCATAAATCTTTCTTCCGACTGCCAGTCGCAGTCACCCACTCTCGTGGAAAGCCTCCTGTGTCGGCTGGGGAGGGAGCCGAGCACAGGGAGGGGAGAGAACTGATAAACATGTTTGCAGAGCAGCAAGATGATAAGTGCAAATTCAAACAGCACAAGCTGAGAACCCGAGCGTCGGAGGGCGCATCGGGGAGAGAATGGTTGCGTCGTTTCATCAGTGGGCAGACGTCCCGGCCGCGAGGCTGAGCCTGGGGGTGATGGGGGGAGGGGCACTGCTTGACAGAGGGTGACGTCTATGAAGGCACCATGCAAGGGTGACCTCAAGAATGGCCAAGTCCAGTGGCCTTTTCTCAGTCCTCTTGCTCCTTGCCGTCTCGGAGGATGAGTCAGCCGGAAGCAGTCTCCTCCTTCCTGAGCCCTCTGGCCTGGTCCTCCTGCCTCTCTGCCTACTCCTGCCGCCCAAACGCGGGCACCTCCTGGGTCTATCCTTGGCCCTCTGCTCCCAGCTACTCTGTCCCCTTTACTCGCTACCTTGACTGCCACTGTGGAATGGCGGGCCTGCCCCCATCTGTTGTCTGCAGCCAGGCTCGGGGTCCTGAGCAGCCTCGCCCCCGCCAGTCTGCTCTAGTCACGACGTCCCCATTCATCCTCACTGTCCTTGGACTCCACCAGTCACCTCTGACTCTCCTCCTTCCTCCCACGCTCAGTCGGTCTCCTCGTCCTTCCTGACGCCCACGAGACCTTGGTGTCACTGCCCACGCTGCCCTGAGTACCTCACACCGGGGCTTCTGTGGCGGCCCCCAAGCCCCAGCCCTGGGCGAGGCTCCATGCTGTCCCCTTTCTCTCTCCAGTCCCCACGTTGGGTTACCGTCCCACACTAAACCCTCACCGCGGAAACACCCAGTGCAGCCGCTGCTCTTTGCTTGGCCCCTGACTTCCGTAGCACGCGGGTGCCAGAAGTGGCCTCAAGACGCAGGCCCTCCACCTGCTCTGAGACTGGCTGTGTCTTGCCCTCAGCTCAGGGCTGAGCTCCCGGCTGGTGGGCAATGGGCCCTAGGGATCTGTGGCATGGGACAGCCTCACGCACTGGGGACAGGATCCCTGAGGCACCGCCCAAGCTGGGCAGCCCCCTTAGAGGTCTGGGTCCTGCTCCGAGGGGCTCTTCTTTTCAAGCTTCCAGCAACCACACCTCTACCTACTGGCTGTGTCCTCACTGAGTTTTCCTCTTGCCCTTTCGGCCTTCAACACCCATCAGACCAAGTCCGTCTACTAAACTTTCTCTGCTGAAATGCCTAGTGTATTTTCTGTTTTCTTGACTGGGTCTTGCCTGACAACACTCCCCAACTGGCCCTCTCCTTTTCGTATTCTCCCTGTTCTGACCCACCCGAGCTCAGCCTCACAGACTGCCCTTCAGAACACAGCCCTGGTCCCCTCTCCCGCGGAGCCCCCAAGGTCTCCTCCCGCTGCCCACCTGCTCCCCAGTCGTCCCTACCCCTCCTGCCACCCAGCTCTCCGACCATCCCTCCCACAACAGCTCCACCCCACACCTCTACTGTCTGTGTGTGGGTACCTGCAGTAACCAATACATATTTTTTTTTTATTGAGGTAACAGTGATTAATATCATTATATAGAGGGTCCAGCACAAGTACCGTCTGCTTGAGTGTGGTTGGTAGGGTAATAATATGGGTATAATAATTTATAGTTTTAATTGGAACATTTCACCTAAAATTCCCTAAAGTGTGCTTGACTGTGATATTGTTATGTTATAGAACTACACGCTTATGATTTTGTAATAAAGAGGGACGTTATCTGTGCCAGACCCTGTCCATTTCAGGTATACGACGTTATCCTTCGGTATCTGTATACCTATACTCTTGATCTCCGAACACCCCTCCTCCTAGGTCTCCCCAGGCCAAGTCCAAATCCCGCATAGCCTCTGAAGGTCATCTCTCCCTCCTCTGTCTCCCCATGTGGCTCAACGAGACCAGCGTTGGAACAGCCTTCCAGGGAGGCACACCCCCCCACCCCACGTATACTGAGAGGCGGTAACCACAGTACTCAGGGCACAGGCCCCAGCTCCATCACTTACAACCTGTGTGACCTTGGGTCAGCAACCTCTCTGGGACTCTGTTGTCCCATCTGCAAAATGGGGATAACAGCACCTATTTCATGGAATTTTTGAGGATTTAATGAGTTCAATGGTACAGTACCTGATGGGTGGTAAGTCATAGTTAGGTAATCTTTAAGTAAGTAACATGCAGGGAAATATCAAGGGCAGTTCTGTCTCTGGATCTGAGCCGGCACAATCAGTGGCTGTGCCCTGAGGTACTTCCCCGGTGCCTGCGCACAGAGGGCACTGCAGTCTGTTTGCCGCATCGTAAGTTACTCTGTGCATCTCAGCGCTTCCTTGTGTGTAGGGGCTGGCTGGCTGATTCATCCCTCTATTCCCAGCGTACCTTGCATGGTGACTCACACTTAGTAGGTGCTCAATAAATACCTGGTGAATAATCGCTTGCATCGAACATCAGGTCCTTTAATGACTAGTTATGTGAGAGCAAAAAGGTAGCTTAACTCAACTGAAACAGCAGGACTGCGAGGGGAAAGGAAACCAAACCCACAGAGGGGTGAGTGTGTGTGAGGTGGGGTGGTGCGGATGGAGCTGATTCGCCATGCTCTGGTGCCCAGAAACTTCCAAGAGGAGATACCCTGAGGCTTCGAAAGGAGGCTGCAGATTGAGAGCTAGGCTGGGGGTTCGGCAGTCACTCAGGCAGTGGCTGCAATCAAGTGAAACAGTACCTGAGGGAGGGGGGCAAAGAAGGGCAGAGTCCAGAATGCAGGCTTGGGGACAGGACAGCCTGGGGCTAAGGACAAAGCTCTACAAGTCAGATCACCTGGGTCTAGATCCCAGGTCTCCCACATCCAGTTGTGTGGCCCAGGGCGAGTGTCCTGACTCCACTGGGCCTCAGCTGCGCCACCTGTAAGTGACGATGGCAACAATGCTGACCCCAGAGCTGTGTCAGGACTCAGTGGGACAACCGTGGAGAGTCTGCACAGCGCCAGCCCATGGACAGTGTTCAGAAGTTAGCTCCGTGATGGAAGGTGAATTGAAAACAGAAACAGAGAACAAACGGTGGAAGAGAAAAGCCCATTTTGCAAAAATGTAACTTCAGAAAATAAAAACCTTCCCACCTTATCCATGAGAAAACAGGCTCAGAGAAGTGTCCCAGGGACAGAGCCGAGGAGAGACCGGCGCAGTTACTTTCCTTGCACAATGCTGCCTCCCCTGGTGCTCCAGAAACCGGAGACCTCTCTGGGGGACCAATCATTTCTTTGGCTCCAGGACGATTTGAGTTACTGTTGTCAGTCATCTTTCTGTGTGACCCTTTTATTTCCAAATGAGAAAATCATTAAAAAGATCATCTATCTCAGTCTGGAAGAGATGAATCAAAATGAAGAAGAATCTCTTCTTGCCCTTTATGCTTTCTCACTGCTTCTTTCCTGAGCTGGTCAAGGAGGCCTGGAGAGGAGGCAGGTTTCAGGAGTAACACAGGAGAAGAGTTGTGGAGTTGGGCAGGTCTGGGGTTTGAAATCCTGCCTATGCCCTTCCATCACTCGGGGTGACCTTGGCCAAGAGACTTGACTTTTTAGTAAGATCAGAAGAACACAGCACCCACCCCAGGGTGCTACTGTGAGGGTGAAGTGGAATAACTGTGCCCAGCAGGCAGTAAGAGCTCAGCAAAGTATGTGTGTGTTCTGAGGTCCCAGGTCTATAATCCAGGCAAATATTGTCCTAAATGTGCAGCTGGTAGAGAGCGCCACCACTGTGAATGCCACGTATTCATCCATGCTGCAAATATTTACTGAGGATCTACTAGCTTCCAGATATCGTTGGGGTGCTTGGCATGCATCAATTAACAAAACAAATTCCTGACTTTGGGGGGATTTGACATTCATGTCCCCCTGAGAGGTGGGGGGGGGCATAGTAACTTTGGGCTTCAAAGACAACACATGCGCTTTTTTGTAAACTCTGGTCAAGGGTACTGTCTCTAATCCCTGTTAGGAGGGGATGGGAAAAATCCCCTAAGAAAAGATCACCGAAGTCACCGATGCCTAACACGTGGTTTAGCAGAAGCACCTTTGCTGTGCTTAGCCTGAACCTCCAGAGCACAGCTCAAACTGGTGTGGTCTCAGAGTACGACAGGGAGCTGGGGAAATCAGCCGGAGCTACCAATGTGCTCTGGGAAGACAGTTCTTTCACATCTAAGGGAGTCTATCTACACCATTAGCAATTGCATTAACTCGCTTTTGGGAAAACGGAAGGGAAGAGGAGAGACAATTTACCTGAACGAAATCTCTCAATAACTTATGAGTCTCTGGACTCAGGACACTGTAAATTTCAGACTCACCTGCCAGAATGCATTTGGCTGCCAGCTTCACCATGGTAACCGACCACCTCCACGGACCACAGCAGCGGCTAGAGGCGGTGCGGCCTGTGGCTGCGGTGGGGACGGGGACAGATGGGACTGGACCCTTTGGGCAGTACAGGGGGAGGCTACGGGGGCTAGGGTTGGGTGAGGACGCAGTGGCACGCCAGACGGAGCCCAGCTCAAGGCCTCAGTAGGCAGCCCGGAAGGTGCCAGCGAGGTGACGCGGCTCGCGGCTCTCATTCGCCGCCCAGTCCCTTCCAGCGGGGACCATCAGGAAGAGTGACCCCCACAACCCCACGTCCCAAGCACCGCGCAGACGAACTAGCGAAGCAACCGTGCCCACCGGTCCCGCCTCCTCGGCCTTCTCGCTGAGTCTCGATTGGCTGCCACCGCAAGAACCCTCCCAAAGTTATTGGGGACCAGTGGAAGGGGGAGGCGGGGCTAACAGACCTTTCTTGTAAGGCAATTCGTATTAATGTCTGCTCTTCAAGCTTTTATCGCTTGGCTAATGGTTGTAGGAAATGTCAATCATTTTCACATCTAATTCCTCCTCACTGCCGGAAAGTTCAGGGAAATAAGCTTCAACATCTCGTAGCCAGAGCGGTGATAAAAGGAGCTTTCTGATTGGCCAAGGCTGGCTTGGCCCATCTTCGGGAGGACTGGGGATTCGCGTATCCTGCGGGAGACCGGGGAGGCGCCTGCGCAGTACACAAGGCAACAAAGAGGAGCTTAGAGCGGGTTTGATGTTGCAGAGGTTCTTGTCGCTCCCGGAACTCCCAGGTCCGCAGGAGTACGGCCGTGAGGACCATCGAGAAATCCAGTCCTTGTTCCGTATCCCGCAGGGAAATCTAATTTTTAAAGCCCGCCGAATGTTATATGCTTTAAAATCTAAAATATGAAAGGAAGTGTTTAAAGTGGTGTCAAAGACGGAGAACAAACGAACTTTGAACAAACGAACACCTATCAAAAGTCCAATTCCTCGGATTGGACCGAGAAATTTCAACTACATTTCTCTGGGTGCATTTCCTCCCTGGTAAAGCGGAGGCCGTATCACACATCGCACGTTGAACAAAAGCGAGCATCCAAGACACTGGTCATGCAAGGGAGGTCCCACTTGCTCCACGGTTAGGAAACCCAGACTGAAGTCGCTGCCATCTTCCTGGCCCAGGCAAGTCACCTCACGCCTGAGCCTCTTTCCTCCTCTGTAAAGATGGGCTACTGAACACACTTCAGGGGTTGTCCTGAGGCTTAAAAGAGCAAGTATGTGTCTGGGGGCATAGTAGGGGCTCAACGCTCAGCCGCTGAATGAATGCACGAGAAGAAATTTATCTGGTTGCACTTGGTTTCTCATCGCCATCATAGGTTGGGCAGATGCACCCTTGCTCGCACTGCTGCTCCACCCCACCCAAGGCTGCTACTGAAAGGGAGGAGCAGCCTCAGGGATTTCCAGTTACCGGAAACATTTTGCTCTCAGCTGCTCTAGGTCTCAGCGTGGCCACCACCACCCTTGTGCTGGAGAGTTAACCCACACTCCCTCTGTAAATGGCCGTGAAGGTTTCAGCCCTGAATCCGCAGTGAAGCACGCAAATTGTCTGGAATCCTCTCTTCTTGGGAAGCGTTCCTGATATTCTGGCTCAAACCTGTCTCACCTTCATGTCCCTTACCCACTTTTTCTTTTTCCTTTGGAGACCTCATGCATGTCTGTCTCAGACACCCCAGGCCTGGGCAAATCAGGAAGGCTCTGCCTGGTCTTCCTGCCTCCCCTTCCAGGCTGTCCTGTTCACTGACCCCATTAGTCCCCTAAAGGACTTTATGCCTGAGTCAGCCTTTGAGGCAGCTCCATGGAGCAGAGACACTGACATCTGGGGACATCCTCTGGAGCCTCGGTGTCCCTTGTGAGGGGGTAACAGCCTGCCCCGTCTCGGGCTACACTCTGCTCATCACATCCACCCTTCACTTTCCGTTGCTACTACTCTGTGTGACTTTAGTCAGAACTGCCATGAAGCATTCTGGGTCTTTCCAGAGAGGTGGAAACCCTGTGTACTGAATTCTGCTCTCCTCATTCCAAGGACTTTCTGTGCATTCTTGATGACTAGTGACAGCTGCATGGATGAGATTCACTGGCTGTAAGGCGGCCAGAGAGTTTTGGTACCATGAAAGGCCTGGAGAAATGCTAATCCAACCCCTCTCTGAGCGGCTGTAACAGTGACAGCCGGCATGTGTTGAGAGCATGCTGAATGCTGGCCCCATTCTAAAGTAGTTCTTGCCTAATTTAACATTCACGTTCATACTTGATATTCACAATAACCCTTATGAGGCTCTTATCATTCCCATTTGATAGGTGGGGAAATGGAGACCCAAAGGAGGTTAAGTCAAATGCCCAGGGTTACACAGCCAGTGAAAGGCAGAACTGGTGGTTTATCACCCCCCCCCGCCCCCGCAGGGACCTCCCCTGCCTCCGAATCCTCTCCCAGGTCCTCCTGTCCTGGGGAGTAAACATGGTTTTTGAGTTCCACATAATAGCTCATGTGGATTGAGCATTACATGCCAGGCACGTGCTAAGCACTTTGCATCCTCTCTTGTCTGATGCAATGACCCTGGGAAGTGAAAACTATTATTCCTGCAATTTAAAGGGCAAGGAAGCTGAGGTCCAGAGAGAGCTCAAGGTCATGCAGCACGTCAGCTAGAATCAGAACCAGCCTCCAGTCACTTACTTTTGGGACTGACTTTTTTTTCTTTTTAATTACTCATCCTTTTTGGTTTCATTACTAAGCTTTTCCTGAGTGCCTATCCTGGATGGGGCACTCTGCTGGTTGATAGGGCCACCAAATCAAAAGTGACAGAATCCCAGGCAGCTCTGGCAGAGCATGGCTGTGTGAAATTGCCGGCCCTGACTTTTCTGGAGGAGCCCAGAACCTGTGTTTTTGTGTGAAATCCCCTGACTCTCAAATGTTGGCAATGAACTTAAATTTAAAACACTGCCACCACAGTAGAACGCCTCTGTTGACTCGTTAGGCCAGGGGCAGGGGGCTACTCAGTGTGACCTCTAGTCAAGAAGGGAAGGCAATTGTCTGAACAAATCCTTGGGATGTGAGTGAATACAGGACTCCAGGAACACTCCTAGCCCCGGGTAGGTGGAAGGGTGTTGGGAAGGAGATTCTGGAAGGAGAGCTCTGAGGAATGGGTAGGGGTTTAGGAGGTAGACTGAACAGCATGTGCAAAGGCACGGAGTTGCAGGAAGGGAGTTCATTGAAGAATGGCAGCTGCCACTCTTTGCTTGGGTGGGAGGTTGGTGAGTAGTAGGTTTGGCCCAACCACCTGCTGGGAGAATAACAAAAGAGAACTAGGTGAGGCCTGGCCTGAAACCTGAGAGATTCATTCAACACACATTTTAGTGAGCACTTATGAGTCACTATAGACGAGACTGCCATCGGTTCACAGGGCACATCCGACCCGGTGGGGAGGCAGACAGAGAAGCCAGTGACCTGGAACTGCTCGTGGTGGTGCTGGACAGGGAAGGACTTGCTGCATTACGACTACACGGCCTGGGCTGTGGCTCCTGGACCAGCGGCACCAGCGGCACACAGAGACCGGTTAGAAATGCGGATTCTTAGGTTCTGGCCCAGACAACCAAGCATTGGGTTGGGGACCACAGTTTACGTTTTCATCAACCTTTCTGGCGATTCTGATGCCTTCTCACGTTTAAGAACTGCTGCGTTAGGTCACGCCAGGACCCTCCTTCACTCACTTTCTCTGTTTGTGCTCTGGTACCTCCGTCTCTCCCAAGCCCCTCCCACCTCGGGGCCCGTGCCCTTGTTCTCAGCATGGCCGTGTGACACTTCCCTCATGACCTGAGCTCAGTCCAAACACTGTGTCCGCGGAGAGGCCCGAGAACCCTCGGTGTGAAGACTTGCCCCCGATCTGTCGGTCTCAATCTCCTTGTCTCACTTTTCCTTCTTCACAGCGCTCACCGCTGCCTGAGAGTATATTCCATGTTCATTTGTTTATTCGGATAGTATCTGTCTTTCTCTACCACCAGGTTAGCTTCGTGAGAACAGGGATTTGGTTTCTTCTGTCCTTCAGCATCTAGGACAGTGCCCAGCATGGCGAGACACTTGGTAAATGTTTTTGAATGAAATCTCACGGGGCTTACCTTTCTGGACATTCACACATTCATTCATTCAACAAGCACTACTTCTTGAACCCCAGTTCTTGCCTAGGGGAGAGGCTTAACAGTGCTGCTCCCCAAAGCCAGGGATGGGCTGTTAGGGCTGATTAGGAAGTGAGGGTTTTGGGGGAGAAGGAAGCAGAGAGGCAGCTGCTGACGATTTGTTTCCAGGGACTGTTCAATCATCCTGGGGTTGAATGCCTCCCGACAGCACTGACGAGCAGCATGAGTTTGAGCTGTGTGCGGCTGGGTGCCAGGGACAGGCGTAATGTTCCGTGCCAGCAGACGGCTCCGGCTCATCGTGCCCGCGGCAGGTGCGAGTCCCTCCGCTGTTGCTCTGGGGGCTTCTCCGAAGAGCCCATCACCTGTGGAGTGTGAATCTGCATCAGCAGATTTGCTGGATGCGTGCAACCCCTTTTGGTAAATAAGAGGCTTCAGGGTAAATTAATGGGAGAAGATCTGTGTGAATCCTTAAGAATGCCTTTCACACATTAAAGCAGATTTGTGCTAATTGCCCTCATGTCAGAGGGCAATGGGAAAGGGAGGGCTAGCAGATTCACAGGGGTTTTATGTCATTAGATCAGGGTTTCTCCACCTCGGCTCCTCTGACATTTTGGATTGGGTAGTTCTCTGTTGTAGGGGGCTGTCCTGTGCCTCACAGGGTGTTTGGCAGAATCTCTGGCCTCTACGCGCTGGATGCCAGAAGCATCGTCCTCGTTGTGACAAGCCACAGTGTCTCCAAAAATTGACAAATGCCCCTTGGGGGTCAAAATCACCCATGGGCGAGAACCGCTGACATATGAGCAGAAAATATGGATTTTAAAACTGAACTTTGCCAGGACCGGGGCTCAGGTGACCTGGGTTTGCAGCCTGCTTGGCCACGTAAACTCTCTCTGCATCTGTTTCCTCAGCCCTGCCCTGTGCGTGCTGAGGATTGAATGAGTTAACACGGGTGGGGTGGGGCACAGCTAACCCGACAAGTATAATAGGCAGACCCAGTGAACACCAGCTCTTATTAACGGCCTTTGGGTTGCTGTTGAATCCCCCAGGGGTGATCTCCAATGCGGTGGCGGCATCTGTTTTATGGTTTTCTATAAGGACTGTGTTGCGTCTGCCTTCTGGTGAGCTGCCTCCTCGTGGTGATGACTTTGCTGTTCGGTTTTCCACGGTTCACGTGGGCCTGGTTGTTTGTGC